TAAAAAGATATAATACATCATGGCTGTAGTGCAAAACTCTAAGGGTTGCATAAGATCTCTCAGGTTCAAAAAATAGGCCCAGAGACTGTGAGGGGATCTCAGCAATATAATATAACACCATTCCGTAAAACTTCAATCCAAGGCTCAGGAAGTAGGAAAAAGTAGGACATGGGGGAACTGCCTATATCATTAAATTTCCCAGGTTATTCTTTCCACATTACCATTATAGTATCATTTCAAATAAACAAGCCTCTGTGATTGGTTTTTTTTAAGTTGTTAATATTGGTTTTATCAACATTTAGCTGTGAAAGTATTATTACTGTTATTTTAAAGATGAGGAAACTGAGGCAAAATGAACTGCCCAGTGTGACCCAGACAGCTAAAAAAGTTAGGGTTCAATTCAGCTCTTCTTGTCAGATTTAGGAAAGGAACAAGTCTAGGGTTGTACTCAGCCTTCAGGAGTAAGGCTAGTGGCCTATATCTCATAGACATAGGATTTCACTGATTTCAAAAGATAGGAGAGATCTTAGAGGTCATAAAGTTCAACTCTCTCATTTTATGGATGAGGAAACTGATGTATAGAGAGACTAAATTTATTTACTCAAAGTGACACAGTTAATTTCTGAATAAAGACTTAAATTGACTATACCATATCACCTCTTAGTGGCATTGCCTTTTAACTTGTAGAAATTTACATAACCTTGAACATGGAAGAATGCAAACACTCAGGTTTTGTTTTGTTCTGTTTTTCTCCCTGATAAGGAAGAAAAAAAATTGACAAAACCCCAAAACTGAAATTTTGGTGTCCCTGAGTAACTCACTTTACCTCTGAATTCTCATTTACCTCATCTGAAAAATGAGGTGGTTGGAGTAAGTGACTTTTAAGCTCCCTTATAAATTCTAAATCCTGATACTATAGCCTAATAGGTACTCTAAAATTCTTGAATACTGCATGGAGACTATTAACAGTATGTATAGGACAACAGTTGAGTTATTGGCCTTCCCACCTTGAACTAATCCTACTGGTGCTACTGTGCACTGTTACCCCTTTTCTAGCACGTCTCCCACTCAAAGTTCTGAGCATATTCTGTCTAATGTGTTTAGGGACTACAGTAATCAGGTCTCTCTAAGTATTAGAATAAAGAGGAAAGAACAGCTCATACTATTATGGACAATAATAGAATTTGGTCAGCTGGGCCCCAGGGCTTTATAAAACGTAAATCATATAAACAAACTCAATAGCTTTTTTGATAAAACCACAAAATTAGTGCAAGAAGAAACCCAGTAGGTGTTCTATATTTGGGCTTCACACTTCATAATCCAGAGCACAAAATGCTTTTAACTTGGCTTGTAAAATGAAATGAAATTTCCAGAATGTGAACACAATCACAGTGCTTGCAAAGTAGAGTGGGGACAGCAAACGTGAACAAATGACAATGCTTAGAATTCAGAAGGTCTTAAGCTGCAGTTCAGGCATATTGTTGAGTGTAGTTTTAGCCCCTGTTATTCTTATTAATAATCTAGAAACAGCATGGTGTAATGAAAGTAATACCAGGGTAGGAGTTAGAAGATCTGTGCAAGTCTGCTTTTTTTTTTTTGACTACTTATCAGTGACTTTTTTTTCCTGACCTTTCAACTATATTTTTTTATAAACATTGTTCATATAGTATGCTGGAGAGACTCCCCTAACTCCCTTGACTTTCAATTCCCACATCGGTAAAATAATATAATAATAACCAAACTACCAACTTTACAATCTATGAATATTAAATGTGATAATATATGTAAACAGACTGTCAAACATGAAACACAATAGAAATGTCAGCTGTCCTTATTCCTACTGTGATGAAATCACAGATCCTTACTGTATATATATGTTATTATGATATGTGTATATATATAACATATATATAATATATATTGTTAATATCATAATTATTAGAAAGAGTAAGTGGCCCATATAAGTAGACGACATAAACCAATGAAAGTTCAAGTTTATTCCTGAGATGTTGACAGGGTCATCAGAAGAAGAGGAATTTTTAAAAAATACATTTGAAAGACTGGGAAAAAAGAACAACCCAAAACAAAACTATAGGAGGGAGGAGGGGAAAGAAATGGATGGAGAGATAGAGAACAAGAAGGAGAAAGTGGGAGGGACGGGAGAAAGAGAAAGAAAAAGAGAAAGAGATGCACTGAGACAGAGACAGACAAGAAAGACAGACAGAAGGTCAGATGGAGCACGCTAAAAACATGTAAGTTAATACATCCAAGTAAGCCATGTGGAACCCTGATTTTCAGTGAGACTATGAAAGTGAGAAACTGTTAGCAACTTAAACAAAACAAAACAGCATTAGAGAAAACAATTAGATGGACTGCTTCAGAGGGATATAAAATCCCAAACTGCAAATGAGACTTTAATTTGAATGCTACACAAAGAAAATTATACTTTGATCTATACTTGTTGAAAGAAGTTCCCAGTTTCCTCTGAAACTGTCCATTTTGTTATTTCTTAATGGCCCAATAATATTCCGTCACATTCAAATGCTGTAATTTGTTCAGCCATTGTCCAACAAGAGGACACTCCCTTAAGTTTGATGTTGGCACTTTTCCTTTTCCTTTGTTCAGTGTGAAGTAAAGGCCTAACAGTCAAAAGGCATCCACAGCTTAGTAACTTTTTAGGCACAGTTCCAAATTGCTTTCCATAATGATTGGAATTTGCAGCTTTACTAATGGTGTCCTGGTGAGCCTTTTTTCGTGAAGTGACCACAATATGTATCATGAGCCTCTTTTGTCATCTTTGCCAGTCTGATACACGTGGTGTGGAACCTCAAAGTCAGCTGACCACTCCTGATGACATGCTTCCATAACTGCTAGGGTTAAAATTCCACACAGTGCCTAATACATAGTGGTCACTTAATAAATGCTTGTTAACTTGACTTGACTTACTCAGGCATGGTGAAAGAAAACAGCTTCCAGGGGCCAATGTAATAAGGTGTTATGAAAATCTTAATGTTGTTTCAAGGTTTAATAGGTATAATAAATAAACTCTAATAGCTTAAAACTGCACTAAGAGAATCTGCATTCTTCTCTGAAAAAAAGAATCAGAACTACCCTTGGACCTTTAAAGTCTAGAAGATTACAAAGACTTAGAATCCTATTCTCTAGCCTTAAGTTGAAATGGGAATAAGCCAGCAGAACCTTCACCTCTGCTCCCCAAGTAAGGAATTCCAACTACGTGTTTTGGGGAACCACAGGGATATTTGTTGTCAGATTTTTTTTCAGGATTTATGTATAGCTTCCCTTAATTTTGGATGGACAAAGGAAGAGCTAGGATTCTTCGTAAGATCCTAATGATGTAGAGAAGTGGTGGGGAACCTGTGGCCTTGAGGCCACACGTGGCCCTTTAGGTCCTTGGGTGCAACCCTTTGACTGAATCCAAGTTTCACAGAACAAATCCGGATTTGTTCTGTGAAACTTGGATTCAGTCAAAAGGCTGTACCTGAGGACCTACAAGGCCACATGTGGCCTCAAAGCCACAGGTTCCCCACCCCTGATGTAGAGGCTAAGGATGCTGGAGGTGTTCGTTTTTTTTTTTTTAACAGATCAGTGATTTTGTTTGTGCAGAGATCTTCTACTGTCAAAATTCAATCCATCCGTACAGAAACTATCGTCAATCTGTCTCCTACGATCATAGACTGAGCACTTAGAGTTTATCTGGTCCAACACTTTCACTTCACAGATGATGAAAAATTGATGGCCAGAGAGGTTAAGTGATTTGTCCAATGTCACACATACACTAAGTGGTAGAGCTGGGATTTCCCATTCCAGTCCCAAAACTACGAGTTCATACTCCAACTTCAAAATTCTTTCCTCTAAATAAGAGTGTGACTCAAATTTATAATCTTAGAATGATAGTGTCAAAATTAAATAGAAAAGATGTCACTATTCTGTACATGGGGTAGCTAGTTGGCTCAATGGAGAGAGTGCTGGGCCTGAAGTCAGGAAGATTCCTGAGTTCAAATGTGGTGACAGACATTTACTAGCTGGGTGACCCCGGGCAAATCATTTAACCATGTTTGCCTTAGTTACTCATGGTAAAATGAGTTGGAGAAGGAAATGGCAAAGCACTCCAGTATCTGCCAAAAACAAACAAACAAAAAAAAAAAACAAAAATAGCCTCAAATGGGGTCACAAAGAGTTGAACATGACTGAAACAACTCAACAACAAAAATCTGTACCTAAGGATAACTGCAGGCTGCATATTAGCATATTTTCAAAATGTCATAAAATCTACCATATCTTTTTTTATTATGTTAAATATCACCTAATCACATTTCAATTTGGTTCAAGGATATTATGAGCTAAATGTGGCCTATGGACTGTGTCTTTGATGCCTCTGCCTTAGAGAGCTTAAAGATTCAACAATTCTCATGGTCACAGAGGTAGTGTGTTAAGAGCCAGTAATTGAACCCAGATCTTCCTGGCCATTCTCAGTCCACTTTATCACATTCCCTCTCCTTTTCTGTGTAGCATTACCAAAATAAAAATAAAGAAATATGAATAACAACAAAAATCTGTGAGAAAAATGCCTATGCAAGCCAATCAAACAGTCCCCAGCACTATGAACTAGGGTACTGCCTCAATAGTTACTTTCCCCATTCACTGAATTGATTACAGCCTTAGAACATTTAACTTTGGGGTCCTTTCTTCTGTGTATTGACTTTTTAACGCATATCATTGATTGCTTAAATTGGAATGCAAGGTTTCTTATTGTAGTGCTCTACACTTACAGGAACACTTTCACATTTCTGACAACTAGTTTGTAGTTTTGGATAGCTGTGATTTCATTTGTGTGGTTATCACAACATTTTGTAATGTTTAATTTATAAAATGCTAGAATAAAAAATGCAGCAAAATACAAAACTGAACTTCACCGGATGCCTTTTATTCTTGACGTATCATTAAACTGTCTTCATAAAACATGAATATGATATAGTTACCTGTCATGTTGCAGTAAACTTTCAGAGGTCCCAGAGCCCCACTGCCATCAGGATCGATCCAGTAAAAATTTGAGGTTTTGCCGAGGTGTTTATAAGCTTCACAGGAGAGTTCATAGATAGCTGAAAACACAAACAAACCAAAATTGACCTAAGCACAATGAAAACCATGATTCTCTACCAAAATTTCTCTGACTTTTTTCATTTCTTATTTCATATTTACAGAAAAATGATGCATTAGAATTTGTTAAAACATTGCATAAGACAATGTCTTTCTTCACTCATAATTTTTCCCTCTACCCTCAACCTGCCCCCCTCTCCAAATTAAATTCAATGGCTTGGCAAATACATCATATTTGCATACTGTTCTAACCTAAAAGCCAAAGGAAGATAATTCCACTTGAATGAACATGATCTTGAAAAGCTAACACTTTTCTGGGCAAACCTAGAACTTATAGCAAGCAAATCATTGGATATTTCTAATTTCTCTCTATAATACCAGACAGTACAGCTTTGCAATTTAGGGTCAATCAATCAATTGATCAATTATGAAACAAATGAAATGTTTGTGTTTGATATAGTTCATCTCCATCCTAAATCTCACCTCATTTGGTGCCCCTCTCTCCACTTCTTTTAAAATAAATAATCTCCTTTCTCTTTTTGGCTTGATTTTTAAAAATCCATAAGGAGGGGAGGCCCTATTGAGTTATAGATAATTAGTGGAGGATGGTTTCCATTGTTATGGGATATCAGCCAGATACTAAGGGACTGGAAGAAATAAGATACTAAGGAAACCTAACTATATTGGCACAGATAATGTAATCCTAACTCTCCCTTTATCCAGAAAAAATAACGAAGAAGTATAAAGAAAATACCCCCTGAAAAATTTTATTTGTTACAGGTGCTTTAATTGCATCAAATCTCTCTTTCACAGAAAGTGAGACACTAGTGTAATTAAATTATGTGTTCTTTTTAGTTGTTTCCCTTCTTATTCCCATGCTGAGGTTGACGTATTTTCCTCTATTCAAGGTGACTGCACCTGTTTTCCAGAAATAAAAGGTGGCCATTTATACTTCTTCTTGATAGAAGTTCTTTTAAAATTCTATAGAGAAAACTTTTTTTTTAAACAGTTCTGCATTGGCAGTTTAATGGCAAATAAACTTATTTCTAAAGTTCACATATGCACACTTTGTGTCTTTCTGGCAAAAATATTCTAGCACATTTCTTTTAATAATCTTGGAAAATGCACTTAAAGAGTGTTAATATGGTGTCCTGTGAAATAGGAAGAGATGAAATTTGATGAATCATATTTTTTCTTTTTGGTTTCTACCTCTCCTCTTCCCCTGTAGGGCGTTGTGTTTGCCCTGTGTTCTTTGCCTCACCTCCTCCCCCCCATTGATACTCACCCACATCAGTCCCAGTGGGTAGCATCTAGTACATCTATCCCTCTGTGTTCCCCCTCCCCTACTCCAACATTTTATCTTTATTTTTTTAAAACCTCCTTTCCTTTTATCTTAAAATTTTCACAGTTTTCTCATACCTTTAAAAAATAATCTTTGGAAGGTTAATTCTATCCTTTCTAGATCCCATGCCATCCTTTTTTTCTTTTTGTGATGAAATTTCTTGAATGAGTAGTCAACATTTGATGACATTTTAAATAAAATGAATATTTTTTCAAGCTTTCTTTGTATGTCATAAATTTGGTGATGGACATTCTTCAACCACTTGGACTTTCCTTCCTTGGTGGTCAGGCAAAACTCTTGAGTGATTACAGATCTTTCTTTATTCAGGGGATTATGGGACCTGATACAATATGATGTTATTCTCAAATGAGCATGTGGAAGACCCCAACCACAAGGAATTTCTCTCCAACTTGGACTCTGTGATGGATTGATATCCTCTATCCCAGTGGTGAGCACATGTCATAAGCACCATCTCCTTGTTTTATACCTTGCTTGGCATTTATGATCAGGAGGTGGTTAAATATATTTATTTATGTTATTATATCTTTCAATCAATCTTGAATGCTTATGATATGCAAATGGGAGATATACTGATGAAAGAGAATGTTTAAGGCAAAGATTAAGCTTTTTTGCATCATGGAGACTTTTGGTATTATGGTAAAAGCCCATGGACCCATTCTGGGAATAGTCTTCTTAAATGCACAAAATGAAATACATAGTGGTACAAAGGACAGTTGAAATGCAGTTATCAAAATATTTTTCCCAATCCAAGTTCACAGACCCCAGGTTAAGAATTCCTACTTTGATGCACTATGTTGTTCCACCAAATTACATACTTTCAAATAATAAACAATAAGCACAATGGCATTTTATGGTCTCTACATCTTTCAGTCATTTGTGAAAGTCAAGATGTAATTCGTTATAGGATATTACTTTGTAAAATCCTTCCTATTCACTGCTAATATCATCATGTAGGATGTCTTCAATAAATGTATGGATAAGATGAGTAAGTAAGCCTATAGGTTGTTAGGTGCTGACATTCTTGATGGTGTCTCTCTCTCTTTTTTTTTTTGAATTAATAATGTTTGAGATATTTTTTCATAGCTCCGGGCTCTTTCATTCCTTCACATACTTTGTAAGCTGATTCTTCAACACTCCCAGAATTGTGTAACTTATATAGCACATATTTCTTCTATGTACACTTGGTTCTATATACACTTGATCACTTCCATTTTACATGTGGGTACTTTTGCCATTTTTTGCTGCCAGTGTCATTTCTATGTCCTCTATAAGCACATTAAAAATAGTCAGGTTGGAGTCTAAGTGTGATCATTATTGGTGATGAAAAATTCTTGAAGTTCTGTTTCATTTTTCACATTTATTGTCCTCTTTCAATTTTTATCCTTAAGTTGCATCTGGACAAGTTTGTTGAAGTGGATCTTTTGTTAAGCTCTTTTGAAATTTGTTCTACCCTCCACTTCTCATCTCTGTAATGAGATGATACCACTCATGATTATCCATTACACTTCTTCATAAGATTTTACTATTTTGAATTACTGTCACATCTGACAGCCATTTCTTTCTGCTTGGCATTTAAGTTAAGTGTTTTGTTATCAAGATTCTTTTTAGGCTCTTTTGGTTTACTTCTTTATAGGAATTGATTAATATTGGTTAAACTTCAATATCAAGATATGAATGTCAGCATAATTTTTGCTGTCCATTAACTATTTTCCTTATAAGCAATTCACTTGAACAATTCACATTCATGCAGCTAACAAAATGATCTTCCTAACACATCCACATGCTCAAAAACCTTCAGGGCTTCCCTTTTGCCTGTAGAATAAAGTACACGCTAACCTAGTTGGTCAATAAACATTTATTAGGTGCCCAGTATGTTCTAGGCATTGCTGAGGATACAAAGAAAGGACCAAAAAGAGATCTCTGCCTTTAAGGAGGTAACAGGTTAATGGGGGAGACAAAATGAAAATAACCTAGGACAAATAGTTAATTGGAGGACATACTAGAGATAGCAGAATAATTAAGATTGCAGGATAAATTGGAGACAGTCAAAAGAGGTAAGTGAATAGCATAGAGCCCTGTAGAAGATGGATGTTAGCTGGGACTTGAAGGAAGCCAGGGAGACCAGGAGGTAGGGATGAGGAGGGACAGCATTGCAGATGTGGGGAATAGCCACTGAAAAAGGCCTAGATCCTGGGGATGAAGTGTCTTGTACAAGAAACAGTAAAGATGCCAGTGTTACTGGATCAAAGGATATTTGGAGGAGTATGAAGTATACTAATACTGGAAAAGTATGAAGGGGACAAATTATAAGGACTTTAAAAGCCAAATAGAGGATTTCATATTTAATCCTGGAAGTGATAAGACATCCCAATCTGGTTCAAACCTACTTATCTAGTCTTATTTCACATTTCCCTACACTCTATGTTACAAACTATTAGTATTCCCCCCCCAAACTCAGCATTCCATCTCACTCTTCCATGGAGCTACATAAGTTCCTGTCAGTGTTTAAAATATACATTTCCTGCATCTCTGCCTGCCAGAATTGTTATCTCCTTTCAGAGCTCCATTTCAATACCACCTATTCTGGGTAACTTTCACTGATTTCCCCTAGTTTTCTCTCTTCTCAAACTATCTTGCATTATCTTGTATCTGTTTATATATAATTTCTAACCAATAGAATGGAAACTCCTTGAGGGAAAAGCCAATTTCATTTTAAAAATATTACTACCCTTTACACAATGAACAACAAAGCATTATTTGTTAATTGATTAATTTGGGATTTTGGATACCTGGTTATGTGGTTGGGGGAATATGTTAGTACAAAAACATCTTTTTGGAGCCTCCCAAATCATATCCGCTTCACTCTTTTTTCTGTATTCATAGGAATATCCCTCGATGGTGCAATTATCATCTTGAATAACATGCCATTTTAATGTACTTTAGTTTTTAAAAGGTATAACATTTAGAAAAGTTGAGTTAGCCTTTAAAAATAGCTTTTTTAAAAATTTAAGAGCATTTCATTACAAGACATGTAGGACTTTAAACAGAATATACTCCAGCCGTTTTTCCAACCTTCTCCTTTTCCTCCCTCTTTAACTAAGTGCCAGCTCCATTTAAATTAAATGACTTATCATGTCCTCAGTTTTCCCCTTTCCTTTCATTTGTTGATGCTGAAACAGCCTTCCTTCTCTTGTTCTTCCTTCCTCTGCTTGTTGAAACCTTACAGGTCATTCCTTAAAATGTTATCTCCTTAAGGCCTTCTCTGATCCTAACCTACTCCATGACAAAAGTAATCTATCCTTCCAAAGATCTCTCAAAGTATTTTATACTTCTTTATATATTTAGATAATATTTTATATCATTGTTATTTGTGCATATTTCATCTCCCCTCACTATAATGTAAACTCTGTGTAGAGTGGAACCTCATTTATAACAGAATGCCTTACACATGTAGTTAATAGTAATTTTTTGTTGTTTTTTTACACTGAATAAATGAATCACTGAGGACCAGTCACTCAAAAGGAAGAAAAATTGAATTTTAGACAATGGAAACTATTCTACCATAATATCCCTCTGGAAGCATACAAAGGTTTAGGGGGAAAATATTGAGGTTAAAACTATTCTATGTGCCATGTGTTT